AGATGATGGTAAACATTTCCAAAGTATCCTCTATAACCCCTTTCCCTGATTGCTTCAGGGTTAAGAAAATCAGTGCGCGCCGTCATTCAGACGGCGAGCTCAACAACAGCCAGATGCATGTCTCCCTCCGCCTAGCTCCTAGCTGGGCGGAGGGAGACATGCATCTGGCTGTTGTCAGGTTAGTAGGCCCTAGCTGTCTGAATGACGGCGCGCACTGATACGAACAGAGAGAAAATAGGACCAATTGATAACGACGTGTGACTTTTTCCACTACAATGTTTTTGGGATGCAAAAATATCGCTCTTTTGAACACATAATGTTTTGGGAAGAGAAACTTTTTATTTCGCTGGTTCTAAAAACCTGCCGGACTACTTTCGGCTTGACCAAAACTGGACGATAACTCTGCTCACAGGACGCTGCCAGGGGTAAGTCAGTGTGATTGCATGCCACTGGTGATGGGGATGCCATACAGATTCATGTCAAAAATACCGAACTATCCCTTTAATGACGTATGATCCTGCTATAGAATACCACAGACTGCCAGGAAAGACATCTGGTCCGTTTTTATTTTGGCCTGTATCAATGACCAGTTATCTGTTTTGGGTTTTTTTTACTTGGCCAATGTTGGAATTGGGGTTGTTTACCCAGATTATATTCTTCCTCACCATTCTTCAACTTGTTTCTAATTATAAAATTAGAAAAGGACTAAAGCTGGATGTGAAGTTGGACTATTTTCAAAGACCGGGTTGGTTCTGTATTTTGGCTAAATAAAGATATAGAGCCAGGTCACATGGGACCCAAAGCAAACCTTGATTGTTCTTGAACTTGTGTTTACTATTAAGCCACCAATCAAACAATGTCAATCGCTGAATTATTTTTCTTTAATCCTCACTTTTTCACCAGATATTATTTATAAAATATAAATAGTTGTAACTGAATAGTGAAAACATAACACAAACACAACAAAAGCAAAGTATCATCAACTGACGCATTGCTCCCTATCTTATATTGCCTTCCTATTAATATATGATTATGATATAATCATAAAGCTCTGATGATTTCCAGATAAATTGATTCAGGGCCCCCCCTGCATCCCAGGAGGCCCCAAACAGCAGAGCATTTCATCTATGCCTTGATTCTGCTCTATATTGGACAATATATACTTTTTTTCTTCATAAAAAAAGGATTTTAATTTAAAAAAGCTGCACCTTGATTTAAATGAGAACATTCAATAAGAAGTAAAAATTAATGGGACTGTTAAGTCAAGTCAAGGTAGTAGTCATTGCCTTCCACATACTTTTTATTTCTTATTTTGACTACAAGTAAAGGACATTTGCAACAAGGCATTCTTTATAAATAAAATTTAAAGCGTCGGGATCTATAGCAATTTTTAAGTCTCCAAGCTGCAGTTTAATTCATTTATCCCTTGATCCATATTTACAGAAGCTTAGGCTACATATATGCTTAGTGAAAGATTTAAAAGAATGTCTTCAAAGCTGAATTGTTACTTTCTTATAAAGTTTAATGATAGGCTAAGTGATCCTAAGTGACCCTCTGAGCTAAACTTTGTGGTTTCATGTTACAGCAAACGTTTAAGAAAAGTTAGATTTATTGTGATTTATTGAAATATTCTTTTGTAGACTGTTGATTCAGTTTTAGACCTGGAGTGTTCCTTTATTTATGAGGATACAAATAAGAGTTTCAGCTCACAGATCAATTAATAAACAGTGAGGCAAACACCCGCTAGGATTTGATCAGGGTCATTTCAGTGGTTTCAATTCAGTACAGATATTAAAGTGTGACATCTGCTTTCTTGGGCTCCAGAGGGCCCCCTGGTGTCCTGGGGGGCCCAGCTGCTCGGTTTGCTTGAAGAATAAATAAAAACTAGACTTTTTCTTCCATTAGTGAAATCAATCTAAAGTAAAACTAAGCTTCAATGTTGTTGTGATGTAACACATTTTGTTGTGTCGAACAGACATATTGTATTTATAAGCACTTTAAGTCAGATTTATATGAACTAAAATCTCTCCAAACAGCTTTGAAGCGATTTTATTGGATAAATTCCAACATTTCAGTTTCCCCCCCATTTTTTTCAGTTCACTGTCACACCGCAGGTTTTTAAGTGTGGGGCCCCGTTTTGTCCCCTACAACCCAGTCAAATGAGGTCCTTTGCATTAATTCGACCCCGCTAAGCTAATAAGGTCGAACAAGTCTCTTTGTATTGTGGCGTTAAGCTTTATTGCTTGTCGTTTTGACCAGCGATGGACAAGGTAGGCTTTGATGAGGGAATTAGTCTCCTATTCTGTCCCTGTTATTCATAGCGCTGCACCGGAGAGGGTGTCAAAAGGAGAGCTGGTCCTATTGCGAAGTGTCTCCCTTGTTGGAGCTGAAAGGCCGGTTATGAGACGATAAACCGCTTAATACACTGAGCTAATTGGATGACAGCAAGAGAGACGGGGAATTAAGGGGCGAGCAGGGAGGGGAGCGCGGAGCCGTGGCCCCCTCTATTTAGAGCTTTCATCGGGGGGCCTGAGGGAGGAAAAGAGGGGGAGTCGTTCATCAAAGCGCCTTTTAAAGTTCCTCTCCTCTCACTGAGCTGAGTGAGGACTTTATCCGGCGAAGGCTGTGGAGTGATTTGGTCTATTCTCCTCGGTAGGGATGTGGTGGGAGAGCATCGAGGTCCTGGAGAATCCAAATCAGGGCCAAATCAAATCCAGAGGGAGGGGGGAAAAATGTGAGGGCGGTGATGAAAAATGGGGACATTTTTTCGTCACCTTGATTTAGCCTACCCGTTAGTAACTGAATCATGATTTTATTTATTTATTTCATTTTATTTCCCCATACAAGCTTCTGATTGGACTCCCCCTCCTCTCCTTATTCTAAACATCAACATTCATTACTATGATCATTCATGCAACAAGGAGCCTCCCAGCATTGATCCCAAACACAAGGCCCCTCCGGATGAATGAAAAGGGACACATCCAACAAGTGTGACTTTATAAATCCACTCTATAACCTTCGACAGCATTTTCAATTTTCTCGCCTTTTTTGAGCTGCAAAGAAAGTTTAAGCCTGGCTCTCAGCGGGTCATCTGCCTCCTGGCATTCCCCCCACAGATATTAGGGAACAAATTGGTTTGCCATTCATTAGTTATATTCACAATAAGATTACAACTTCCCCCAGACAATCTCATCATGGAGGAAGAGAAAGCACACACGCTTCAGTGACTTTCAGCAAAAGGCGATTTAAAAAACATGAAGCTCTCACACACAGTGTCAGCTGGTTTAGGCATACAGGAGAAAATCGTTTTTTTATGTTTTTTTATACACTAAAGCAGCTGGGATACAGAGCTTTGGTAGAGCTGCACTAATAATTCACACATATGTCAGAATAGGTCAATTTTCCGTGCAGATAAGTTATACAAATTATTTCTGTAAGTTATTACCACTCATTAAATGCATCAAAACTGCGATTTCCCTCTGTCTTTAAACGCACCAGCTCTTGGAAAAAATATATGTAAGATGGGGATTTATGAGGGGTTTTTTTGCCAAAAAAAGTTAATATAATCATTAAATCTTACAATAATATATCAATGTTCTACTTGTCAAGCTCTAAAGGAGATGTGTGAGTCAATGGTTTTTAGAGTTAAAAAAAAAGTAGTCCCCCAAGCCCCCAATAGATTGGTCGGATAAAATCAATACAATTTTACAATTTTTTAATGTTCTAAATGTTTATTTTAAAAAGCTGGTGGAGTTTTTACAGTTTCTATTGGTTTTGTTATATTTTAAATTGCTCAGGTCAAAATCTGACTCAGCAGGACAAATTAACTTCAAAGAAAACCAGAAGAGGTAAGGATCTTAGGAAGTATAGTTGACCACCCAAACTAAGTTTGTACAAGTACCAATGTTCCCTATTAAAAAAAAAAAAAAAGCAAAACTGTTTGTTTTGGTCCTCAATAAAACAAAAACTTGCCCCTGCTGGAGGCTTAAAGGAGCACCAACAATTAGCATTGGCCTGATTGGTTAATCTCTTGAAGTAATAATTTCTTTTAAATGTGAACACAAAACAAGAGGAAATGATAAAACAGTTATTATGTTTTCCATATTATTCCACTTTTAGTTGCAATCTCTTCATCTTTATAACTATAAATAATAACAGCGTATTAAAAATGTTTGTATTGGAGCAGCACAGCTTGCCAGTCTACTTTCTAAGCTTTCTAGAGAGCCCCCTGCTCTAAATCTCTTCTTCAGTCGCTTATTACATAGGAACCCAGCCTTTTTCTGGAGTAAAGCTGGGTGATTAACAGGTGTTAAAAAAATGGAGGGCTGGAAGAATTTTGGAGGAGGCTTTTCTCAGATGCAGACAATATATATTTAATAAAAGAAAGAGAGGACTACATTAATCCGTGGAGTAATTTCACGCGATTTGGTCTGGTACCATGGTTGGGTCAAACTGAGCAGAATAACCATTGATTGCGGTAATAGTCCTGAATCAGAGTGGGGATTTGGGGTGGGTGGGGGGAATTAACTCTCCCAGGTTGTGTGTGTGTGTGTGTGTGTGTGAAAGCTGATTGATGAAGTGGTTTGTTACTTCATTAATGACAAAGGGAACTCTCTTCCATCGACGTGGTATTACAGATGTTAAGACCAATTTAGCGCCTTTAAGGGTTTTTTAAGCAAGTTTTGTGACAGCCCCCCAAAGATAAAGTGGGCGCTTTAATTGAAAACCCCTCGCCTTTGTCGTGCCTTTCTCTTCTAGGGATTAAGCTCATGAATATATGGTTAGTATTTTGTCAACTCAACAGTGGAGGATTAAACACCTACTAATACGTTTTGGCTTTTGGGGAGAAAAAATGTTCCCCTCTTCGAGCACCTGTCACTGCAAAGATAAAAGGCATATCTTTGTCTTTGCATCTTGTATTAATACTTCTATGCTTTGTTTGTTTTTCTCTGTGTGGGCCTCGGATTACTGAAGGATGTTTGAATAATAAAAATAACTCATTTTATCAATGTCATTTATTCAAATTAATGTTATTAAGCCAGGAAACGTACAATCACTTAATATGAAAAACAAATATCCTTCACTCATTTCGTCTGGGAAGAGTTTTGACATAAATAATTATCTAAAAACCTAATAATTCATAAACACAGGTTGAAATCTACACAGGGCAACATTCATTACACACTACACCGAGTGCAAATGATCAAAACAGGGTCTCTTAAAATATACATGACCCTATTTTGAAAATGATCCTCTTCCTTTTATTTTTCACGCTTTTTGTCTCTCTGTTTTTCTTTTTTAATTTTTTTTTACACAATATTTACAGTATGTCTCTCACACAGTTGCTCGTAGGTCCTGAAGTCAGAGTCCGCAGAAATGCCACTGCTGTGAAAATTAACCAAAGTAGGAAATGCGGTTTGCAGACGATCTAGAATGTACGCCTTGATTAGACGTACGTTTGCAGTGGTGCGGCTGAAAGTGACGGACGGACAGGCAAGCGGTGCAGAGGAGTCAGGCTTGCAGAGAAGGCTATGGAAGGTCTATGGACAAGTTTTCCTTTGGTTTAGGGTGTGTCGGGGGGTGAGGGCTGGGGATGCGGGGTACCTCCTCCAACTCGCCTTTTATTAGACATGCAGACTGGCTCAGCCCACATAATAATGCATACAGATTAAGCAGTGTTAATGTCGAGCACTCGTGTTGTCCACATCCAAGGAACTCTTTTTTTTTTTTTCTAGAAAAGTCTGGGTTCCCCCTGCCGTTCTTCAGCTCGGTGTTTTGGGGTGAGTCTGTGTGTCCCGACTTCAGGAAAAGGAAACCAAACCAACAAAGCAAAGTCTTGGGTTTTAAACATAAATAAACCAGAAGCTTTTTTCAGATAACTGTACCTCATGTTTGTAAGATTATACACTGTTTATAATTAGAAGCTCATTTATTTGTTACATTCCACCTCTAAGGACTTGTATGGTTCATATTTTACTAAACATATACGTATATGTAATCACTCTAAACAATCCCCAATAGACTTTTTGGGTGACTGTGGAAGTATCGAAGAGTATTTGAAATAGATAGCTATATAAATGCATTTAATCTTTGGATGTTTTTCAAAATAATCTTATCTAACTGAAAGCTCTTATGATATTGATTCTTTTTTTTTTCTGGAAACTATATGAAAGAATGAAACCATGCTTATCAGAGACACACAAACACACTTTTTCAGCCAGTGCTCTTCTGCATTTGGTCGTGCTATTTTGTTGGGGAAACATGAGGTAACAGTAGGAGGTCTAACAGGGGGGTCATCATCAGGATAGCAGCCTCCAGAGGTATGAATGTTTAAATTTGCTTTTTTTTGTTTTGTTTTTTTTTTCTAAGGGGGACGGGGTGTCATGGAATGGGGCGTACGTCCAGCACAGGACGGGTCAGCGCTGCTGTTGAGTGTTCAGCACACCTCCTTCCCCGTGGCTCCGGCTGGCAGGATGTTAAGCTGGGTGAGCTGAGCCGAGTGTTCCTTGGCCTTGAGGCGCAGCGCCGCAATACTTGAGGCCCTGCGGTCTGCTGCTGCAACCGAGGAGGATGAGGTGGAGGAGGCAGAGGAAGGGTCGGGGAGGACAGAGCCTGCATGGGAGGGGCTCTCCACTGGCGGTGCAGGCTGACGGAGGAGGGCTGCAGCGGTGGAAGCACTAGTCAGGGGACCCATGCTGGAGAACAGCCTGAAGGAAGACCAGAGTTCAACCATCTAAATTAAAATAAACATGTATAAGTTGATTTATGCATAGCACAGCAGGGTAGATATATTTAATCTTAAGGTGTTTGGCCCTTATATTAGAGTGAAGTGTTAGAGCAGCAGAAGAGGAACTATCTCTTTAAGCTAAAAAAAAAACTGATGCTTGAGTCAATCAGACAGAATTTAGATGCATTTCTACTTATCAGTATCTAATTTATTTAAATTAATGGTTTAAATATATCAAGCTGCTGAGAATTTGTACTATTAAAATCCATCCTCGGGTGATGAATGCATTTTCAAAGTAAAATGTACTGGTCTTATTCACTTAGCCTGACTTTGTTCGGTGAAGCAATAAAAACGCAGGGTTCTTTGGGTTCTATATGGGTACAGCTAATTGTGTCAGGGTATCACCCCTCCTTCCTCACAGCTTGATTTGCAGCTTCACACATTTAGTTAATTTATTAACACATTTAACAGGTTGATTAGACCAAACTGTGAATGGCTCGCAGTGTAACACATTTATAATCAGACACTGAGATAAACATAGACAGAGTGTGACTGAAGACCACCTCCCATTAGGGCTGCACTGTGTGGTGGGAGGTTATTTTAAGCTGAGTTGCTGCTGGGGTCTTTTCTGCACAATAGTTGTGATTTGCTTTAAAATACAGGGATGAATGTGTGGGTCGTATTTTTATGGGAGTTTGGCCTGCTGACGAGAAAGGCAGTTTGGGATGTAAATAGCAGTAAAGAGCACATATTAGGTCTGCAGGAGGGCTGTGCATATCGCAGATACTGGGCACTTTATTGTTAATGATAAAAAAGAAGAAATAACTCAACTTATCATATTAACAATTAAACCAATGGGGAGGAAAGTTTGCAAACACCAGAAACTAAAAAAGGACGAGATCAGTTCATGTTTGGTGTGATATGGCTCACTGCCCAGGGCATTACAGCATATGGGGAACAAGGAAATAATTTTTAGGGTTACTCCCTAAAATGTGCGCAGTGTAAAATAACATTACTGTAACCTGGAGATGAGTTTGTACCTAACTCATTCTCTAATTTTAAGCTTAATTAAAGGACTTTTTCTCACTTTAAAGTATGTAACTAGCCTACATAAGGTCATCTGTGGTATAAAATCCAAAAATATCAAAAATAGACAAAACACACAGGGGTTGCTCAACATTGAAAAGTGTTAAAAACATTATGTAACGGCTAATCACAGCTGAAGTGAATTATTCTACATTGGATACTACATATTATTTATGCTTTAAAATGCATTTAGGAATTTGTAAGAGAAAAAAAAGAAGAGAGAAAAAAGATCTACTCATTAACACAAAACAAACTAAAAGAGAATGTGTTATTAGTTCTAACAGGAGTGCAGATAGTTGGGCTCCCCCAGGGCGCCGTTTATAGCAGAACCCCCCACTGGTTTGTATTGTTACTTTTGAAGTTTTATATATTTATTTTTCCCACTGTTGGTTCTTAAAAAAAGAGCATCAGTGATTGCTACATTTATGCTTCAAAATGTGATTGGATGCAATTATTATGTGTAGTTGTTGCAGTATGATGTGAAAATGTCTTTTTTGATGATGACCAAGTTTTATGTTTGTTACCTATAGCTTAGAATTAATGATATATATAAAATAAAATAAACTCACCTGCCAAAAGTTGGTCCGATAAAGGCAGGGTGACGAAACATGGCAGCAGTGCCCAGGAAGGTGCCCAGTCCCAGTGGGGTAGCCAAGGGTGGAGCAGAGCTGTTGTGAGGCGGTGGGGCCAGGCCTGGGAAGGCCGCAGCTGCAGCTGCAGCAGCTGTCCAGGCAGATTCCAACGCTGGATGAGGGTGGGGGGGGAACGGCCCTCCTTCTAGATAGTGGCTGAGTGGATGGCCTGCAGCAAGTGGGCCTGGGAAGGGCAGGCCTGATGGGTGGGCCTGCACCCCTGCCTTCTCACGCTTCCTCCACTTGGCCCTGCGGTTCTGAAACCACACCTATGGAAGAAAAAAAAAAAAAGGAGGATGATGAAGGCTTATTTCCCTAACCCAGCCAGTCTGTGCTGTCAGTGCTGTGTAGTTCAGGTGCATGGCCAACAGGCGGAAAGTCAGCAGTAATTACATGCACGGCAAACCCCGCCGCTCACGGCTCCTTAAATCTACTTTCTGTCTAATTAAACTCCCTCGCTTTTCAGACGGGCTTTGGGGAGGGGGGAGGAGGGGGTGGGTGATAATTAAGAGCGTTGTTAACAAAAGACTCAGAAATTACCGCTGAACTGGCTCCAATAACAATTAATGCGCTTTAAATTAAATTCTTAAGAGCCGCAGAACTTCCACGCAGGAGAGTATTTAACTTTCCCACGCATCCGCTGCCGCACAGTTTGCTCTGCAGGAGCTGCACAGGAGACCCCCCCCTAACTTCACCATGAGCAAAAAAATGTCAACATGTGGAAAGTGACAGAGGACGCACATGCATTATTCCCAGAGGGCTGTTTAGCATCACACAGCCCTTAGGGGGGAATTTATGAGTTTTTATCACCTCCTGATGGCGCCTGTTAAGTGATTTGTTCACCTTACAGCCCCCCCTCCTTTAAAAAGACATCTGTTGTTTTACCTCTTGGAGCTTCCACCATGTTTGAACTGTCTCTGTGGTTATGAGTTCGGCCTTTCGACATGCAAGACACGCTTTGAGAGCCGAACCGGGCTGGTTGGGGGGGGGGGGGGGGGGGGGGGTGCAAACACCTTTAATGGTCTCTCCCAAGTGCAAAGCATCGGATCAATGCAGGTCTATTGCAATCACATAATGGGAAATCAAATAGCATTATCCCTCCCCTCTTTTTCTCCCTCCCTCCCTCAGACACACACCCATCGGTCCCCTCTGATGGGAATCCAAACACCATCTCATCCCGGGGAATACAGACACTGTTTGCTCCTGCACTAAGTGAGCCTTTTATGAATCGCCGGCGTCGGCTTAATTGCCACTAAAACGTTCCCCAGTTCGCGTGTAATAACATTCAATAACAGGAAGGACCTTCCCCGCTCAGCGACTGGGGGCCCATTTAACACATTTTACTGTAATAAATTATTGCCTCAAATTGGCCCATAATCGTTGATCCTCAATCAGTGACGCATAGCAGCGGGTTATTATCCAGGGGACCATTTCACAGAGGACTGATAAAGCATTAGAGGATGCTGCCCCCCTCCCTTTCTATTTGCATTACAACCTGATTCACTTTATAGATGCAGGAATAACTTACCTGTACGCGCGCCTCGGTGAGATCCAGACGCATCGCGAGCTCCTCTCTGCAAAAAAAATAAACATAATAGGAAGAAAAGGGGGAAAGAAAAGAGTCAAGGTTACAGGCCATCGTTTGGAAGCACATAGAATTGCTGTTTTGTCCCCTCCTGTTGTTAACTGTCAACAATAGACGACCAAAATAGGTTGGATTATTTTTTTCTCCCTTTTTTTTGTGTGTGTGCGCAAAAAGACGCCATAACCATATTCTATTTTCCCCTGTCATGCGTGGGTAGAAATAGGTCTAGTGATTGTTAGATTTTTCCTTAGCCAAGGCCTGTCACTGTAACAACATAATGGTTGGAATAATGACATCTAAACTAGCCTGACACAAAGCAATTGGCGCTCCCTCCAGATATAGCAGCGAGATGGGGCCCCGCGCACTCCCAATTAGACCGAGTCTCCTTAAAGTAAATCGTCTGGAAAATATGAATAATCCTGCACCGATGGAGGGAATATATAGGAATCAGAAAAGCGTTTATAGAAAAAAAAAGCTTTATATATTGCGGGGGAAACTATATAATTAATCGGAAGTTATTTCATTTTGCACTTAATTCTTAAATGCGCATAACAAAACAAAAAAATAAATAAAAATAAAACAGTCACCACGTTTTGAATGTGTCTGATATCTTTTTTGCTTGTATTGAGCTTTAGTCTGAGCCGTTTCTCCCCTTCTGAAAGTAACATCTTTGTGGGTTTTAGATTTTAATCAAACGTCCCAAAACGAGCAATTCAACAGGCGTAAATAGGCAACAACAAAAAAAAACTGTTTACTACTAATAGGACCTGTGAAACGCACAGAAAAATTGGTGTGAGGAAAAAAAAAAAGATGTGCTAAACAGATCTGCTTTTAAGAATAAATGGATAACTCTGGTTCTTACAATAATAATAATAATAAAAAATAGAATTGCTTAGATCTGATTATCTTTGCGCCAAATTAAAATATTGTGAAATATTATTATTATTATCATAATCATTATTGTTATTATTATTATTAATGCAGTTCAATCGACATATGTTCTCTTTGTAATAATACTAATATTTATAAATAAATAAAAATTGTACTTTTTTTACTTTGTTAAAATTAATTTTAATATTTGAACATGCATATATCCATAGAGTTTGATATCCGTTTTTTTATGCAAAACATCTCTCATATTTATTGATTTATTTTTTTTTATTTATTAACTTTTTTCCTATAGTTTTTATTATTTTTATTATCTAACCTCGTGAATACATCGGGGTAGTGCGTCTTCTGGAAAGCCCTCTCCAGCTCCTCCAGCTGGTAGCTGGTGAACGTCGTCCTGTATCTTCTCTGCTTCCTTTTCAGCATCCCCTCCTCCGAGTCGCTGCCCGCCGACAGACACACGCTGTCCTCCCCGTCCCTCACGTCCCCGTCTCCGGCGTTCAAGCTCTCCTCCCTCTCCTCGTCTTTCGGGGACAGCGCGGTGCCTTCCGCGCAGCTCCCCTCCTCTTCCTTCCCGACGTCTTCCTCGAACTTGAGGGGCCCCAGCTCCACCAGTCCGAGGGCCCCGTCCTCCGAGGCCTCTCCCGGGCTCTGTTCTCCCTCTCCCCGGTGCAGAGAGGCGTTCTCCCGGTAGGACTTGCTGCGGCTGATGCTCACCTGCGGCGCCTGGCTGATTTTGAGGTTCTCGCTGGCCTGCTCCAGGAGGAGCCTCTCTCTTTCCAGCTTCTCTGCGTGATCTTGGAGATATTTCCCACCGGGTCCATAGAGCCGACGGAGCTTGGGGGGCAGGTGCATGTCAGCGCCCAGAGAAAGGGGCTCTTTCGTTGGCCCTGAGAAAATTATTGTTTAAAATCCAGGTATTAATTTTGTAACAGTTCAGCAAAATAAAATTAATTAATCCAGATTAGTTAAAACAAGATGGATTAAATCTTAAACATGCGGATTTACCTGTTGCAGGTTTAAACATATCATTTCACATATTAACTCTCTAACTATCAGCTCGATTTATTTCTTTTATTAAGCTTACCGTCAACTGCCTTGTCAAACTCCCCTCTGCCCGGCACACCGGTCAAACTTTGCGCCCCTATCAGCCTGACCTTAGAGGGGCTGCGGCGGCCCAGAATGCTGTCTATGCAGTAAGACGAGAGCAACGTCGGGGATTTACTGCTCTTCCTCTCACCCCGCTCCAGAATATCTTCCTCAAACTGAGCGCTCATGTTGACGCCTGGTTTCTGTCAGTCTCCTACTTCTCTCAGGAGGGTCTTCTGCTCCCTCTTCCCCTTAACCCTCTCGCCCTGTGTGCGCGCGCGCGTGTCCTCTCTCTTCTCCTCTCTCGGCTAATGACAGGCAGCGGCTCGCGCTGCTCTCTGCTCCTGTACCGCGCGCTCGTTCAACAGGCGTGGAGGCTGTCACCGCGCGCCTGATTGGCTCGTGTTTGTGTCCGCGTGGAGAGAGAGAGAGGGAGAGAGAGAGAGACAGTGCGGAGCTGCTTTATATATTTTACGATTAAAGTTAATTTGAGTGAAAGGTGATAAAACCCGACATGGAGTGCGCAGGTTTCCCCTATGGAACGAACTCAGGGAAATAATATATTTGGTCTTTTTTTGTTGCTTTTTTCTTCAGAAAGATTTCAGTTTGATCTAAACAGCCTTGATTTGATTAACACATTTTCACAGAAACTGAACGACACACATCACTGTAGAATTTCTGCAAAAAACAACAGAAAAAAATAAATATATAAAAAGACAACATAAATACAATGACCTAATCAGTTATGCCTGCTGGCATAAGGATTCATAAGAGGTACAAACACCAAACATTAATGATGCCTGATCTCTAATCGGTTGTCTCAATTCTATTATTTATGTTACACTGAAAAAATAATGCAACTCTTTTTTGCATTTAATAATCATATTTATTTACTTTAACACAATTGTTTTATGTTAGCAGAGTGGGACATAAAACAATTGTGTTAAAGTAACTATATACGATAAAATAAATGCCAAAAGCATTACTTTTTTCAGTGTATAGAGAACACTAGTGGTTTTACCGTAATACAATCCAATATGTCTGTTTAATTTTAAATCCCTTTGTGCTTTTAAAGTTTATCTAGAGATTTTTGCCTTCAAATGTGAATCTAATACACTAGATTATTTTAAAATAGGCCTACTATTACAAAAAAATTGACTTAACTTTACGCAATAAATGCAAATATGCAACTGAAAATACTAGTAAAGGACCCTGCAATAACTGACGTCATATAAAAAATGGAGGCCATATTGGTACTGTTGTTGAAGATCTGCTAATGCTCAGAAAAGTTTCCAAATAATAGGATTTTTGAATTCATAAATAATTGTTTTGAATTCATAGTTTAGATGTATCTGTTGTGTCAGGTCTACAGAAAACTAATCTAGCAGCTTTTAAAAATGACTAAAATATAAGTGGAACCACTTACAATCCAAACTATTTATTCAGCTTTTAATTTTTGGATTTTCTTTTTTGTTCTTTTTTTATTTTTCATATTGTAACAGGTTTTAATATCTCCCTCTATACATAAAAACGCATTAACTCCTGAAAGTCTCTAACTTTCAGATTTGATGTGCCCCTTTTTCATAAAGCCAAAGTCATTATGATCTTACCTCCTCTTTTCCAAACTTTGGAGGATTCACCTCTGTGTAAAAAATACAAACATTTTATAATTGATCAACAATAAAGCTAATAATAATGAAAAAAGGCTGGAAAACTGAGTTCACACCAAAACCCTAAGCACATAAGGCGTAAATGCAGTAAATTAATTGATTTATTTAATAGACTTGACGTTGATGTTGTTTTTTTTATTTTGCACAACAACAAAACATATGTTTGATATTTGAGTTGTTACTGTGTATTTGTTGATTCATATGTTCATTTATATATGATTCATATTAACAAAACAAACATGGCTATCAATAGCATGTGAGCTTTACAAAATAAAGTGTTTGACAGAATATTTTTTTCTTCTAACCCTCACAGAACCATTGGCTATATTAAACATTTTTGTCTCACAGATAAAGGGAGCAAAGCTGCAAAGCAAAAGAGTCAGTATTGCGCACTTAATGGGTCGAATTGGTTCTATGAATGTTTAATATAGGCACATCTTTGTCAGTGATGCATACTGGACTATGCTTAAAAACAAACAAACAAAAGAAAAATAGATTCTTTTAATTTAAAAGGGTGACTGTAGCTGCTGCCTCCTTGAATCCTTGTGCCAGCATTGAAATTCTAGTGCGGAGTTTATCTTCAGCCACAGGAAAGCACCTGTGAAAGGCATCCTGTCTGTCTGTCTGTCTGTCTGTCTGTCTGTCTGTCTGTCTGTCTGTCTGTCTGTCTGTCTGTCTGTCTGTCTATCTATCTATCTATCTATCTATCTATCTATCTTTTCTTCTCCATCTGCGTGCGCCCTGCTGGAGCTGTGGATTGGGGGTGATGGTGGCGGCCGGTGCGGTGATGAGCCAGCGCACGGGGTGGCCGGTGGGTGGGGGTTTGGGGGCGTTTAGGGGGGGAGATAGCGCGCAGGGACTCCGCTGTGGAGAGGGGGAGAGACGGAGAGATGGACCGAGAATGTAATTTTAAATGAAAGTCTATTTAACCCGCTGTGAATGGCATGACCCCCATCCTCGCCTCAGAGCCCATCACTGTTAAAAGGATCATTTTCAGAATTCAATCCAAAAACTTCAGCAAGCTGCAATTTACACTCTCTGCTCTCCTGTCTTTTTCTCTCTCCTCCTCCTCCACTGTTCTCCCCGTTATGTATCAGCCCTAGAGGTTTCGCAGCACAAACGAACAATAACAATGAAATATATCTCCAGAAAATTGCACAAGTTGTTCTTTATTTTTTCTTCTTATTACTTTCGTTTCTTCTTCCTTAAAGAAAGCCGGAGCTGTGGTTCGATTGATCCCTAAAGTTTAGTTAAGATGCAGGCGTTCCATTTACATTTACGCGACATCTTATGCTTTATCATTTCAGGAAATAATTTCTCATATATCACCTTTTATAACAACACAAATTTCCTCTAAGGCCTTTTTCGCATTTGTGATGATAGCAGAGCTGCAGCAGGGTCACCTCCACAGATGATGTCGAATTGAATCCACCCATAACCTAATTTTTATTAGTGTTTCTGCAAACTTCTCAGACTTGTTTATTTGTGCAAATCACTCGTATAATGAGCGTAATAACAATATAAAATGTTATGCCTTTTATGTATTATTTTTTTTTTACTCTGCACGGTCACAAACATAGGCGCGTAATACAGACGGGTATTTAGAGTCGCTCTGTAATTTGGGGGCCACAATCTGATTCATTTATCCGCACTCTGTTATTAACCCCACCGAAAAAGAGATGTCAGCCGCCATTTCAGCCAGCAGGACATCCGCGCTTTGTTTAAATGCACTAATTACGCGCATACATTATAGGAGGGAGGGGACAGCCATGAGCGCAATTTTCACATTTCTAATTTTCCGTCTGTCTGACGTGCAGGTGAAGAGATGGCGCTTTTCGTTGCTGCACCATCATCAACTCCTTCTTTGTATTTTCATAACATCATAACCTGATAATAAACAGGGAAAACACCGGGCAATGGATGCTTCATTGTTTGCTCTAGACTGTTGTTTTTGAATTTACAAATCTTTTTTTTTCCTGTTTTCTATGATGTAAACCTATCCTTTGTTTTTAACCAACGATTGTTATAAACCATTCGAATTATATCAACATGTTTTATGTGCTGCAGGTAATCTGTTAAGGTCTGTTAAGTTAAGGACATGATTTTCTGTGAAGGCCTTTAAACTCCTCTGAAGTTCATGACCAAGAACCAGCAGGGTGGGCCTAAATGGCTTGGAGGTCATTGCACTGGCGCCATCTTCTGGATAGATAAGTAAACTGCTCCAAAAGGGATACACATGCAGTTCTACCTGACCTCTTCCCATCAAATGCAAGGTTTCCTTAAAGCAATAATCTATGTTTATGCAAACAGCATTTTATGAGCCTTTGAACCATTGTCATGTCTGCATTATAGAAAATATGAATTTCCATTGGGTTGGGTTTTGGTTGGGAGGAGACCAATACTGCATTAAGGAAAAGAAACATATACAAGATGATGCATTGGCAACAGTAATATAATATATGTCCATTATAAACCCAATAGTACTATTAAAATAAAATATAAATGTATTATAAAAGGCAAGAAAAATACAACCATGCATGCTGTGGGGGTTTTAGTGCTGCGAGAACAGAAATAAAAGTGTGTAGAAAGTCAATGAAATAGTAAAAAAATATTAATCTATAACCTTTAAAGTAAATTTAAACGAAAAGATTCATTGCGGATTTGAAATCCTGACATCTCCTGCAGGCCCTCTGCTGCAACCGCTTAGTTCGCTTCTTAATCTGGCTGTTTCATCAGCAGTACAACAAATACAATATCTGTGTATGAATGAAGTGGCTTGGTGCAAAAAAAAATAAAAAAAATCTGGATTTTAAATCCTCAGCAACGATGGACTATTTTGTCAAGTTCCTGTGTACCATAAATAAGTGACCCTGAACGCACCATCCTGCATCCATCCTAACGCAGTGACATGATTGGACACTGGCTTAGCTTGAGAGGCCAAACAGCAGAAGGAGGAGAAGGAGGATGAGGAGAAGGAGGAGGAGGAGGAGGGGGGGGAGAGAGGGAAGCTTTTAAGGCGCGCGTAAGCAAAGTTAATTAGCGGTTATTAACAGCCAGCATAATGGGAGCGAGAGGGAGTCAATTTAATGACTTTGTTAGCGCGGGTTCAGAGCGACAGGCGATGATCGAAACAACAAAGGCGAGCGCGCGCGCAGCCATCATCCGTAATTTCCAGCGGTAATGCGGTCTGATCTGAAACAAAGGGTTCTAATTTCGTTCAACTGACTCGATAATTTGTCCTTATGTAAGGAAAATAATTAATGACTTAATGCTTCAGCAGAAGTAGCGTCCTTTAGGGAGGAGGGGGGGTTCGGAGGCCTCGTTTTGCAAGAGAAGGTGGAAGCCTATAAGGAAATCAATTTCCAACCCTGCAATTATTTGCATCATAAATTTAAAACGCGGACGTGCGCCCTTGCTCTCCGGTTAATGTGCATCAAGTGAGAGTCTGCTTGGAAGAGCAGATGAGGAGTTACAGTTCTTCTTCCTTCTGCCAGACTGTTGCAGGGAATGAATGAATGAGCCGCTTAACAAGGCAAAGGATGCAGAAGGAGAAACATCAAACTCCAGTTAAACTCAATGACAAGTTCAATAGCTTAGCTCATTTGTATTGATCAACACATTAAAATCCATCTACATTTACAAAAGTAAAGGGTTAGGGTTAGGTGTATGTACCAGGGGCCAGGAGGGGGCCAGTGTGTTTTCATGCGGGCCCAGAAAAACATGAAATAAAAAACAGGGCAAGGGATTAAAATATAT